TATGACACCAATTCCTGTTATAATAAAGAACAGACAAATTATGAGTTTGCTTCACTCTGAAATCAAAAGCTGCATATATTGAGATACATTTAATTTCTGAAATTTGAAAAAAAAATCTATATCAATAGTTAACAGGTTAACTTTGGAATTGGAATGTTTGTTTTTTGGTTAATCTGGAAATTATAAATTTAGATTTTAGTATGTGGTTTCTAAGATGTTCCTGGAGAAATGTCACATTTCATAATTTTGGTGCAAATATTCATATGTATGATATGAATCAACTTAGCAGGGATCATATTGAAAACACATACTGTTAAGGATTTATTTAAATGAATGAGTAACCGGGGAAGTTTCCATATGTATACTAAAACATATATATTTTATTCAGCGTCTCCCATTTTATTCTTATTCTAATAGCAAGGTCCTCTCCTCCCCTGCGTTAGCTGGATAATAAGGCTGGGCTTGGTTTCTCCCTTTATATACACAGTCTAGGTTTCTCCTGATTGTTGTCTGAAACTCTGCCCGGCCCGGATGACTGTAATGACTTTGTATTCTCCTGAGACTCAGCTGACTCCTTCCTGTAGCTCTTACAGGAAGGTGCCATTTATTTAACCCCTTTAAACTTGTAATAGTTTGTATATTAGTGCTCTGTAAATATACAGATGTGGAAAGCACTGATAAAATGCATCAATCTGACTTCTATGACCCTCACATCGAGGTTTTTTGTGGGTCTTACACTGACCCCTGCTGGTGGCTCTGTGTGCCTCCTCTGAGGATTTGCCTTTACATGTCTGCCTGAGATTATGTCCAGGCATGTACCAGAGATTCAGACAGGAGGTTCCATGAGTCACTGGCTGCTCTCTGGCTTATAAAAGGCTGCCCAGTATTAGTAGTCTCAGAATCCCTGTAGTTCTCACTGACGAGAGACATGGTAAGCCGGATTTCTACTTTCACATTGAGACAATCAAAAATAACTTCTGTTTTGGGTAGATTGGTGTGGAAATTAAGCTTTTTATTAGTGATTAGTGATAGTATATCAAATTTGTGATTTGATACCAGATGGTATATGAATTAGTAATACAATATTGTCTTTTCCATGTTTCAAAGTTCGTATAACAGTTAAAGGATCTTTTTTTCAAATTTGTATTATTTGTCGCTACCCACTAAGTCATAATTTCAACATAACTGATATTTGTTTATTACAAATTTAGTTCGATTTTTTAAAAGCACCAATTTTCAAACAGACAATATTGTTGCATTCGCGATACGGAGGTATTTGATAACAGCTAATTAATTCATCAATTGTTTTGGCATACTGGCAAATTCATTTTTAATGAAAAGACAACTAACCAGTGATTTCTCTGTTTCTACAGTGCATAACGATGGATCTTCACAAGCAGACCCCGAGCGCCCTGGGGAACAGCCCGGCCCAAAGGAGCCTGTTTGGCCCCGTGGACAGAGAGCAGCTGCAGGTGGAGTACCAGGCCGCCCTGAGGAGAGACCTGGACCAGGCTTGCCAGCGATGGGGCTTTGACTTCGTCTCAGATAAGCCTCTGGAGCAGAGCGTGTTTCAGTGGGTGGGCATCCCAGGCAACGAGGTACCCCTGCTCTACAGATCATGTCTGCCTGGTCTGGGACACACAGAAGGTCAGAGAGCAGCAGAGGCAGATCTAAAGCCACGGGGAAGAGGAAGGGTGGGGCAGCCTCACAGTGAGGAGGAGAACATCCACTGTTCACCAGAGAGATGTGAGCTCCACCCGGAGAAAACACCAGAGAGACGAGAGGACACAGGGCTGAAGAGGAAACAGACCAACATAACAGGTACTTATTATAGTTATTAATAACGTAATATGTTAATTAGAGTGTGAATAAGTTTTGATTTGATGTGGATATGCACTTGCTGAGTTTTCTGTTCTTTATCCTAACAGATTTCTACCAGTCTAAAAGAAGATTCATTTGGACGCCACGCAAATCCGGAGAGTGATTTTGGTGTAGTTTTCTGCTGAGGTGCCAATATCCCATATTACTAGACTCAGGAAATCCACGCTCTGCACAGACTCTGAACGCCCACTCCCTAGGAGGGCTCTGACCCCGGGAATCCTCTGCCAACAGAAGGGACCTCAGCTATGTGTCATCATCACATTAAAAAACGATGAGGTTAATTAGGGTACTGTGTCCAATCTGAGGGGGGTGGTGTTTCTCCCCAACGTCAAGAAGGGGACATTTGAGCAGAGAAGATTAATGGTAATCTCTGGAATCAGTGGATTTCTAGTCATTTGGATCATGGGCATGCCAAAGACATTTCCTACTGTGCATCCTACAGCGCTGAAAAAGCGGTCACGTCCCTGCTGTGTAGAGACTCTGTACCTGTGAGAGGTATGATGGATGAACACATTACTGTATTCACTTGGAACAGAGGTCATGTCGGTTATAATCCTTAAGGAGTGGCTATGACAAATCTGCACAATTATGAATATAGTAGAGAATAGATGAAGCCCTTTGGCTCCTTTGCTAAATTCCACTATGTTTTTTGTTAATGTGAATCATGAGGAGTCAATTCTTATGTGTTTTTTTACTTATTATATCTGGATGTAAAGTAATTTTTTTTTTCTATCATACTTGTGATTGCTTGAAGAGCTTTGATATCCTGTACACACAGTTGCTTTGCTTTAGGCTTTAAATTATAGAAGTGTCATCATGTCCTCTTCAATTCCTTCTATTGACTGTACGTCAATACATTTTCAAAGCACATCTCCACAAGTGCCCTTTCCGGACTCTGACAAGTGTACAGCACCAGATTTAGTAGGTTAGGAGCAGAGCACCATGTCTTTGGAAGACTTAAAATCCTTATATTTACGTTTATTTAGATATATATCAGATATTATAGAGTTTAATACAGCACTGTTAAGTAGCAATACAAAAAAATATTGCAGTATTGCACATACATCTGGTAGGCGATGTATCCTCAGCACCCGTATCAAGGTCCTTTATGGTATTTGTATTCAAAGCTCCATAAAATCAAAAGATAGTGTTCTCAGAAGAAATTATGTTTTTTAGTAAGCTAAAGCTGAAGTGCTATACTTTTCTATTTGTAAGCATATTGCATTTGTAACAGACACCGTGTTATTATCTGCCTCAAAACAAACGTTTGTTCTTGACACTTATAGTTATTATGTCTCTGTTGGCATATCCTGCTGCTATGGTAATCTGAATGGGTGTTAAACAAGGTCACTGTAATGCTAATCCTTACCAATTGACAGTTTAGAAATGTTTGCCAGTGCAAAAAGGAAACTAAGCGAATAACAGCATTACTCAGAACAAAGTGCACTTCTGTTTGTAGGTCCTTTGTATATTGTTTGTATATGTTATAAAGCTACAAACAAAAGATCTATCTTTATTTATTGTGATTTATTATGACCCGTGTTAATTTAGTTTTTGTTTAATTATTATGAAAGTTCCAATAAAATGTTCTAATAAAAGTTGTTATGAATGTTTTGCTTTATTTGTAGTCTACTTTAAAAGGATGTTCACTTAGGCCTACTACACTTAAGGATAGTGACTGTTATTTTTACTTCAGTACATTTACTTGAAAGCTACAGATGTCTTTGACCATCTTTTAAAATAGGACACGTTGTTACAAACAAGTCAGTAATAATCATTGGTGGATGGTAACTAAGTGCTCATATATACTCAAGAACTGTATTGTAATACAATTCTCAGGTAATTAAAGGTGGGGTAGGTAATTTTGGAGAAACCAGCTCGAGATCGCTAGAATTTGAAAATACACAGCCGGAAAAAATCTGCCACTTCCTTACAGAGCCCCTCCTCCAACACACACGAAGGCGCACATGACCAATGAGGGCACGAGATAAGTTTGTGCCCCTATGGAAGGCTGACAGGCAGGTAGGCCATCCAGTTATTTTAGCCGGCTAAAATGATTGGTCGTGCTTTTTACAGTATTACGGCTTCCACAGATGACTTTTTTTTATGGATTTTTTGTCAAAACACTTCAGATATTCATTGCTATCGGGATGTTAAGAGCATTCCATGGAATATAACAAGTGTATCTCGAGCCGGTTTCTCAAACCCCACCTTTAAGTATATATTTCCTGAACTTTATATTCATCATAACACAACTCAGAAGCAAAGAAAAAATACTTTTTACTCTACACCTGACAGCTTAAGTTACTTTGAACAATCGGATTGATAATACTAAATATAATAATGACGATAACTAATGACACATATGCATGCTAATAAATGAAGATAGATTGTGTACCTAACCTAGTAGTGGGTATCTCACTCACTCTCTCACACACACACACACACACACACACACACACACACACACACACACACACACACACACACACACACACACACACATTTTAAGTTTGGTGACTACAAATTCCAGCAGCCCAGGCAGGACACTTTTTCCCTCCTTTGTGAAGAAGTTGAATAAGACAGACATTAAATACTTTGGCATCTCATCCCTGCATCCCAGAGCAGGCCCTGCTGTGCTACCCCCCCTCCCCCTCCCCCCTCCCTTCTCTCTCCCCTGGCACAGAGGCACCTGCACGCCTGCGCTAAACTCTCCCCTCCCCCGCCCATCTCCCTCCATCATCTGTCCCTTAGCTCCCACATCCATTATAGGGCAGGAGGACAGCTAGCATTTGCGTTTGAGAGAGAGAGAGAGAGAGAGAGAGAGAGAGAGAGAGAGAGAGAGGAGAGAGAGAGAGAGAGAGAGAGAGAGAGAGAGAGAGAGAAGAGAGAGAGAGAGAGAGAGAGAGCGATCTATCATCGCTCTCTTCTCTCGACTAGTCTCATCGTCTACTCTCGCTCTTCTCTCTTCTTTCGTTCTTTTGCCGAGGGAACACACAAAGGAGGGGAGGGGGAGGGAGGGAGTGAGGCATAGACCAGGAGCATTGGAGGGAGGCTGCAGATATCGATGTGTTTGCTTCTCTCACTAATGGAAGCGTTTAGGATCCAGGGAGGTGATAGTCAGCCAGACAGCGGCTGGGGGTGAGGATATTTGAGGAGGGGGGCTCCTCCTCGGTGAGCACAGGGGGAGGAGGAGGGAGGAGGAGAAGGATGGGCCTCGAACACAGACTTGCAATGGCACTGCAAAAATTGGATTAAAGCAGTATGGTAACGTTTCTGATTTAATTTATTGCTGTGCTGCTTGTGTCTCATCCTCATGTGTTCGCATCCATCGGCCTTCTCTCATGTCACACTGTGTCCTCGAGGAAGAAGAGGAGGCGCAGGCATGCCCTGTCCTCCTCTCCGGTTTTTTTTAAGATATCCGTCATCCCCATCCTCATCACAGCCTTCTCTTCCGACCCACAGGAGCCTCTTTTTTTTTATCGATCGCCGGATTCATCCCCACTACATCTGTTTTTTTCTGTTGTCTTGTGCTCATCATACACTGCACCCCCCTCCACGTATGAGTCTTTGCTTAGCTGCTGTATTGCATCTCACTTTCTAAGACAAGATAAGGAAATGATTAACCACCAGGGGCTGCAGTCATCTGTTTTTTCGCTCCATTACAATGCGTTTGTAACCTACTTTGTCTATTACAAAAAGGAAGAAAACAAACCGTCTGCCTCGCCTCGCGCTGATTTATAGGAGCATGTGCTCACATCGCACTGTCACGCAAATAAAATAAATCCGTTGCACCGTCCCGTCTGAAGAAATTAGAGCAGCAGGATGAGATGTTTGGTGTGTGTGTCTGAGCTCATGTTTGCAGGGTCTGATTACTCTGTTTGGACGTCAGGCTGAGGGTCATTAACCATCCCACCATCTGCCAAGATACACACGCATCTTACATATCACACATTCCGGGGACTTCCCTCCTGGATCAAAGAGACAGAATGATCCAGAACAGACTGAGATTTACAATGTAAAGCATTTAAAAATAGACCATTTCATCATCATCATCATTATCTGTAACCACCGTGTGTGTTAATGGACCGTGCAGCTGCAGCATGCTTTACCTTCATCTTCTTCATGAATTCCTGATGCGTTTTTAAATTAAAGGTGTAGGTAACCTGTTTGTGGCGAAGCTGAGTTTCTGAGGATGTGCTGAGCAGGAAGCAGACTAATTATGTATCATCTAATTAATGCATGATGGCCTTTCTGTGTTCCCTCCAACAAATCAATTACGGACATAAGTGACTGACTCTCTGCAGAGGCCAACGTGATTAACAGAGGTTTATTTTAAGAGTCTGCCGTTCCCTAATAAGTTTTCTGTAACAACTCTGTAATAAATGCATTAAGTAAAATATGCACACATTGTATTTGTTTATTTATTGTAATGTTTATTTATTTCTGAAAACCTCAAATGTGTTGAATTCTATAGTAATTTGTGCAGTTCTCTGTAGATAATGTATTGTAAAAAACGAATTAAAATGGTAACACCTTGTCTACAGTAGTTTCCCTATTATTAGTTCTTGGACACTTTTAGGAAATGATTGGGGAATAATGGACCTTAATGAAAGCCTAACTACAGTGTATGGTTATTATACTATAAAGTACCACAGCTTGGTTGGTTGAGCCCAATCAGATGGATACTAATTCATGTAAGATTAATGTATTTTCCCACATGGGAAACCTTTTTAAAAAATAAATAAAGGATACATAATCTCAATCAGGATGCAACACCATGGCTTTACTCAAAATAATCTTCCTTGATACTTTGTCTAGTATATGTGATGGTCCTTTTATTACTACTTTATCTGTAGTAGTTGGAGTACTCTTGTTTCTCCACCCCTGATTACGTCCCCCTTCCCTCTCTTCCCCTCAGCTGGACAAGAGCGAGGTGTCAACTCTCGGCTTACCCTCCACCACCAGCCATGGAGGCTCTGACAGTAACATCAGCGCGGACGGAGCGGCGGTGGTGGCAGCAGCATCAACACCAACACCAACACCAACACCAACACCAACACCATCATCTGGGGTCATGGCCTGTGGGGGTGCAGAGAGTTTTGGGGTTGGTGAGCTGCAGCGTACGCGTGTTGCCCTTGACCACCTGCAGCAGAAGGTCCTGAAGGTCACCGAGCAGATTCGTGTGGAGCAGGAGGCCCGTGACGACAACGTTGCAGAGTACCTGAAGTTAGCCCACAACGCAGACAAACAGCAGGCGTCCAGGATCAAGCAGGTGTTCGAGAAGAAGAACCAGAAATCAGCGCAGACCATCGCACACTTGCACAAGAAACTAGAGCACTATCACAAGAAGCTTAAGGAGATCGAACAGGTAGGTGCAGTTAGTTATGCAAACCAGAAATCTTTGCAGCTGTTTTTGTGCTGTGGTCGTTTAATAATGCTTTTGTAGCTCCACTCAAGCATATGTTGAACTATCTCTGAGGACAGTTGTGTCCAAATATAGACTGATTATTCTCATCCTAAACCAACGCACCATCCTGTGTCTCACCTAATTCTCTGCAGGGCCTGCTTTCCTCATCTATCTTCCTACAGTTCTCTCCCTTAACCTAATCTTTCCTACCTTCCTCCACTTCTCTGCTTCCTCATTTCTCTGCCCTCTCCACAGAATGGACCGGCCCGGCAGCCTAAGGATGTCCTGCGGGAAATGCAGCAGGGATTAAAGGACGTCGGGGCCAATGTTCGTGCTGGAATAAGTGGTTTTGGAGGTGGAGTAGTTGATGGGGTCAAAGGTGGAGTATCTGCCCTCACTCACACAGCCGTGGTCTCCAAGCCCAGAGAGTTTGCCAGTCTAATCAGGAACAAGTTTGGCAGCGCGGATAACATTGCTCATCTAAAGGACTCGCTCGAGGACGGAGTCGGGGGCCACTCTGACGACCCCCTGACACATCGTGCACTGAGTGGAAGTGCCACTCTGGTCTCCAGCCCAAAGTACGGCAGCGACGACGAGTGCTCCAGCGCCACGTCCTGCTCCGGAGCGGGCAGCAATTCTGGTGGTGCAGGCGGAGGAGGGGGGGGACTGTTAGGACCAACCATGGGGAGCCCCAGACTGGACGGGCACCATCACCATCACCATCACATGCACAGCTCCTGGGACACTCTACTTGAGGGCCTGCAGGAGATCAAAGCCAGCCAGGCGCACATGGAGGACGCCATCGAGGACATGAAGGGCCAGCTGCAGAGCGACTACTCCTACATGACACAGTGCCTGCAGGAAGAGAGATACAGGTACAGGTCACATACTGTCTAGTCAAGCTTTATTATATTGAGTACATCCTTCACAAAGTATTTCACTTTTTAAAGATTTCATTTCACAGCTGGGAACTATTATTTTTTAGCCCACGTTACTTAAAAAGGAGTCAATAATGTGTAGGTTCGACTGAAATGAACTACACTGTTTATCGTGATAATCCAGTTCAACAGTTAGTTTATGTATGTTATTTGCATTATTCTGAACATGTTTTTTCTGCATCTTTAGGTATGAGCGACTTGAAGAACAGCTGAATGACTTAACAGAGCTGCATCAGAATGAGATGACTAACCTTAAACAGGAGCTCGCCAGCATGGAGGAAAAAGTTGCCTACCAGTCTTATGAGAGAGCGAGAGATATTCAGGTAAAAAACAGCAACATTGTTGTATCCATCTGAACCCCTGCCTAACTAAACTTTAAGCATCATGAACTTTTATGCTGCAATGAACAAAAGTCCATTGTATAATATCCCATTGGCCCTTTGTCAAGTGATCCAGGAGATGCCAACTTCCAGATTGGCCTAAAAAACTATCCACGCAGCACTCTGTTGACCTTGAATAGTTTGGGTTAAGATAAAGGATACTGCGCACCGAGTCTCTCACCAACTTTTCTAAATCAAGAGTTAACATCTAGAGTCTAGACCAACCAGAAAATGTTGCATTTATTAAGGATCTTGTCACTCAAAGTAAAAAGCTGCTGGAAAGATACGTTTTCATTACCTTAACCACAAAATAAATCCCACTGTGTAACTTTGTGTGTACCTACAGGAGGCCGTGGAGTCGTGCCTGACCCGCATCACCAAGCTGGAGCTGCAGCAACAGCAGCAGCAGGTGGTCCAGCTGGAGGGAGTGGAGAATGCCAATGCTCGAGCTCTGCTGGGCAAACTCATCAACGTCATCCTGGCGCTCATGGCCGTACTGCTGGTGTTTGTCTCCACCTTGGCCAACTTCATCACCCCACTGATGAAGACCCGGGCCCGGGTGGGTGCCACCGTCCTCCTGACCTTGCTGCTGTTCGTCCTGTGGAAGCATTGGGACTTCCTGGAGCCGTGGCTGCTGCCCAGCTGAGCTCCCTGGGAGAGAGTCACTCTCAGTCACCGTCACTGAAGGAATCAGGGACTAAAATAGAAAGAGGGCCTCTGTGCTTGTTCCCTTTGAGTGTGAAGGTGGAGCATGTGAGGACAAAACACGGCACTTTCAGATGAGGAATGAACACCATTCGGCCTGCAGAGAGTGTTGTGTTTACAGGGAAAAAAGAACAGGAATTCTCTGCTTGTCAAGCGTCAAAAGACATCATCTCATCTCGCCCTAATCTCCTGGTGTTGATGACCGATCATATGTTGCATTGCTGTCACCAAAAACGGAATTTCTCACAAGAAATCTTTGGATCGTCCTTTTATAAATATTTATGATGGACTACAAAGACTAGAGCAATTTAATATTGACTTTAACACGCTGATCATGTTCGCCGTTACCTTCATGTTGAAGCTATAGTATATTTGAGAGGAAAATGTTTTTTTCATGAATGTTATATGCTCATGCATGTCCTCATATGTGCACAAAGATGCATCTAACTGGCATGAGTTAACATTTCATCAATGACTAAACTAATCCTCAAGAACTGCCGTTTTGTTGTCAGAAATACAGTGCTGACATGTTGTCACTCCTATTTGTTTCACATCCTGTTCTGGTGTTGAAGCAGTGCTTTTAGACACGTTTCTCTCTCTCTTTGTCTTTTTCAAATAGAATGAACTGTTTTAAAGAAAATTGAGCTGATATCCGTGACATCTTCACCTTAATACTTCAAACATGTAATACCTGTTCTGTCCATAAATGCTATTTCATGACCACTATTGTAGAACTGCTAATATTCACTGTGTCAAAAATAACTGGCATGTTAAATTGTATCAAGTTTATATCCAGTTTGCAAAAAATATTTGCTGTTTTATTAAACAATGTAAGAAATAAATGATTTCATATATTAGGCTGACGTTGAATATATCATTATCAACTTTTTGACTGAAATGTTCTTAGACTGGGAAATCACTTTAGAATCCGTTTTAAGGCCATTAGTGAGAACAACCTTTGAATTGCCAGTTGTTCTGATCAAACAAACGGACCAATACAAATCTTACCATACACTTTGAGAAGGGACTGAAGCAAATTCCATTTCATGAACAACTTATTATGCATTAATTAATTGATTACCAATATCTATAACTACACCATTACCTAAAACAAAAGATAACCAGTCAGAAGGATTTTAACATCGCTTGTGCACATCGAGTGTGTCTCGAGTGTCTACAAACCAACATATATAGACAAAAGTATTGGACCACCTACATGAGCTTTTATGACATCCCATTCCAAATTCATAGGCATTAATATGCAGTTGGTCCCCCCTTTGCAGCTATAACAGCTTCCACTCTTCTGGGAAAGCTTTCTAGAAGATTTTAGAGTGTGTCTGTGGTAATGTTTGCCCATTCATCCAGAAGAGCATTTGTGAGGTCAGACACTGATGGTGGACGAGAGGGCCTGGCTCGTAATCTCCATTCTAGTTCATCCCAAAGGTGTTCGATGGGGTTGAGGTCAGGGCTCTGCGGGCCAGTCAAGTTCTTCCACACCAAACTCATCCAACCATGCACTGGGGCACAGTCATGCTGGAACAGAAAAGGGCCTTCGCCAAACTGTTGGAAAGGCATAGAATTGTCCAAAATGACTTGGTAAGATGAAGCATTAAGAATCCCCTTCATTGGAACTAAGGGGCCTAGGCCAACCCCATAGCATTATCCCTCCTCCACCAAACTTTACAGTTGGCACAATGCCGTCAGGCAGGTAACGTTCTCTTGGAATTCGCCAAACCCAGACTCGTCCATTAGAAAGATAGTGATTGGTCACTCCACAGAACACGTTTCCACTACTCCAGAGTCCAGTGGCGGTGTGCTCTAGTCTACACCACTCCATCCGACGCTTGGCATTGTGCTTGGTGATGTAAGGCGTGCATGCAGCTGCTCGGCCATGAAGCTCCCGGCACACAGTTTTGGTGCTGATATTATTGCCAGAGCTGGTTTTGAACTCCTAAACGTTTCCACTTTGCAATAGCACCACTTACAGTTGATCGTGGAATATCTAGGAGAGAATACGGGTGGACGGGTGGCGCAGTGGTTTGTGCATCCGATCATCAGATCAAGGGGGAGTGCTGGGGAACTCCAGTTCGAAACCCGCTCCTGCCGCCACTGCGTCAGGCCGTTGTGTCCTTGGGCAAGACACTTCACCCGGATTTGCTCCTGTGGGTATTGTCCACAGTACATGTATAATACCAATGTGTACTTGTAAAAGCGCCTCGATGACCTCGAGGCGTGAAGATGGACGGTGTGGCGCAGTGCGCTGTGCAATGATCATCAGATTAAGGGGTGAAACCCGCCGCTGCTGCGTCTGTAAAGCCGGTGTGTCCTTGGGCAAGACACTTCACCTGAACTTGCTCCTGTGGGTATTGTCCACAGTATCTGACCATTGCATGTATAATATATGTGTAATGTGTGTATATGTAAAAGCGCTTTGAGTCATTGAAAAAGCGCTATAATAAATGTAAGGAATTAATAACTACATTTCACGAACTGACTTGGCGGCATCCTATTACAGTACCACGTTCGAATTCAGTGAGCTATTTAGAACGACCCATTCTTTCAAAAATGTTTGTAAAGGCAGACTGCTTGGCTTGGTGCTTCATAGTATACACCTGTGGCAATGGGACTGAATTAAACACCTGAATACAATAAGATAGATATAATTGGAGGGATGAAACCCTCTTTAATGGTCACACATGCACACAGTGACATTTGTTTTCTGCTTTTAACCCATTCTAGCAGGAGTCTAGTACTAGGAGCAGTGGGCAGCTATTGTACAGCGCCCGGGGAGCAATGGGAGTCATCCAATATCTTTGTCCATATAGTTGTATATAAACCACCCATTTAACTGCAAAAAAGACAACCTATACAGTCTTTTGTGTCAGATAACCATAAAGCCATTCAGATTTAGTTTCCCTTCCTATGTCACATGCAAGCTCATTAGACTATCCACCAACAGCTTGAGATCTACCTTTGCAGAGGTGCACCATTATTTTCTAGAAGGCCCATCGGAGAGGAGTATTATCAGGAGGGGGCTGAAAGAGAGAGGAGCTACAGAGCAGGTTTCAAATCTTTAAGAAAGCATCAGAGAAGCAGAATTAAATTAGTCTTAGATCAGCTGGGTATCCATTTGCTAATTCTGTAGATGTATTCAGTGTTACTTTCTTGATTCTAGGTAAGCACACAGAACATGAATGTATTCTTAATGAATGCTTTTCACTGGGGCTGTGACTCACAACTATTTTCATAATAAATTAATACGCAGATTGTTTTCGCTCTGTCCATCCCAGTTTCTTACAGTCCGAGGGGATGACTGTCTTTGTTTTGTCAGGCCAAACAAAGATATATAGTGAGATATGATACAACACAGAAAAGCATACAGAAAAGGAAGTCTATATTGGAGAGGCTGAAAACATTAAATTATTTATGGATTATCAGAAGAGTTGGAAAACATCTTTCTGTCAAACGACTAATTAATAAGTTGAACTAATGGTTGCAGGTTTACATATAGCTGACCCGAGTACCTCTCTTCATCTTTAACTTAAACTAAGGATGAAATGAAGTAACTATTCCCTTCAATTAAATAAAACCGAAGAAAAGTTTCACATTTGTTTTGTCTTTTTAATAACCATCAGGCGAAACCCATATGACCATACATTTATGACAGGTATTCTTACAGTACACGACAGAACTCAGGGGGATCAGAGCCGCTGGCACGGCCGCGCCTGACCACTGAAAAGTAAGACATTCATCGTCATTAGATTGTTCCAACTTTAACAGTTCACAAATGTATTCCGCGTTTGACTCGTATCAAACACGACAGTTTTTCTTGATTACCTAGCAAATTCTAAAGACCTTGATAGAAACAGCAGAGTAGAAAAAAACATTGTATAACAAGCAGAAGAATTCCTGATTTTATCTTATTTCCTGTCAAGATGCAAGAAGTACAATATATTGCTTTCAGGTGCTCAACTCAAAATGGGTACCCCGACACATTCTGTACTGCAGTCCGCCCCTTCACTCCTCCAATAATCTCCTGCTGTTCAAACACAGGCGCAAAGTCTCCAACCTGGGCTCAGACTATCTAATGTTACACCACAAGGGGAGCTGCAATTTTAAACAAGATACAGGAGCTAAAAGATGAACAATCACAAAGATAGGACCAACGAGAGCAGCCCCTCCTCAAAAGTGCAGCTTTCTGTCACTTATCATCAATGAAGGGTTTTCATGAAAACATAGAATGACTACAAAAGAAACTAAAACTCTTCCTGTTCACTGAGAGCGCAGGCCTTCAGCCTAAAACACAGTATCCAGTCACTGCGGAACATTTCAGGAGAGGACATGATGAAGTACAAACGACACAGGGAGGAGTATTAAAGGTCCCATGTCATGCTTTTCCGGTTATTACCCGTCCCCTTGTGAGTTGTGAAGGTTTTTATGTAAACGGTCTGCAGAGTCAAAACCCCTCAAAGTACACCCTGTAGCGAGAAAAACTCTAACACAGAAAATACCTCCCCAAAACGCCTCGTTGGAGATTTCTCATTTTCTTCCTGGGTATCGCTACGTATGGATACCCAGTAGCCACGCCCAGAGCTATGGCCGCACCCTCTGCCAGCCTTTCACGAAACAAAGCTTCCCAAACCTTTCAGCGATTCATGCCAGATATGTACAGCGTAGGGCACTGAAGAACGATGCTGTTCCTACTTTGTTTGGACCAGCGGGAGATTCGGGTACACAACCCAAAGTATTCATTGTTGTTTGTGTATTTATGATGTTTAAAACAAACAAGGTATCTACCACGACTGTTTAAATGGGTAAACGTTTTTCGGACTGCTAAATTGGGATCGCGGAGAAATGCTCTCCGCAAACCCATTCTCACAGCGTTAGAAACCTTTTTCTTACTCAATATCAAGCCACACGTATTGTTTTTACTTCGGCTGTGAGTGTTTGTGTGTGCTCAGGATGAGTTTCACTTGTTCTCGCTGTATCTGTATCGCTATCACGGAAGCTCTGTCTGCTCCTCACAGCAACGAACAGCTGCACGTCGCATGACCAATCAGAGCACACTGGGCTCACAGGGAGGGGGGGCAGGAGCTCCAACAAGCCGTTTAGGACAGAGAGTGAATACACATACTTTACAGAGATGCTGTATGAGAAACCAATGTGAGTTTGGAAAATTGCACAGTATAAATCTATTCTAGTAGACCTCAACAATGGAATTATGATCAGTAGAAATGGCCATGACATGGGACCTTTAAATGATTCCCGAACTGACATTTCACGATTATAAAAAAAAAAAGCTGGAGGCGACACGGAGGCTGGACTTTAGTCACTAGATTAGTGTCATTTAATTGGACCTTCACAATGATGTTGAATGATGTACCTCTTATAGTATTTAGAGCAGGGGTGTCCAAACGTTTTTCACAGAGGGCCACATACAGAAAAATATACGAAGGGCTGGGCCACTCGCTAGAGGTGAGGTATATTGCCTCATAAGTTCAGTTATAAGTTAGCGAAATCAATCAAATGAAGGTAAATTCATTTATTTTGTTACAAAAAGTGTTGGCAGCTCATCCCTTAAAACAGATTGCTTATAATAAGAGGAAATATTAAGGGTCTATTTCAAACTGGTTATGTAAATAAATTACTGGGCTTTTTTCTTATCAACTTAAATTTGTTAGAAAATGTTTTCAACTTTAAATCGACTGAATTTATTTGAAAGATGGGCTTATTAACACACAAATACTACTGTGTAATATATTTGTACATATCATTTTAAGAAGTACAATATAAGACCAGCAAAAGTTTGTGGGCCATATTCCATTATACTTTTTGAATTTGCTAAGGGCCGATTCAATATGGTCCGCGGGCCGCATTTGGCCCCCGGGCCGTAGTTTGGACATCCCTGATTTAGTGCATTGGCTATTAAATGTACAGTTACATATAAAAAGGCACATTGACAACATTATTGTGATAAAAATGCTCTAAAATCCAGATAATGCGTTTCCTTTGAATGTATAATGCTGTTTCAGGAGGGCCGCAGACTCAACAGACACGAGTCTGATGGTTTTTAAAACACGGACACACAACATGGCGTTCAGCAGGACAGAGTTGGACCGCTCACACAGTTTTCGGGATAGTAAACTGCTATGCTGGTCCCGCAGGCCGAGAAATCTCAGGCCTAGTTTTTATAAAGGTTTTGGAACATAATCAAAAACCAGCCATTATAACATTTAATTTAAATGTTTCTAATTTCAAGGATTTTCCTTGCTTATCTTTATTACAGTGTCTTTCTCATCTGGATGCTTCAATTTTCACCTTTACTCCTAAACATAATTGTGGCTGTCCTAGTGCCCCCATTACTATCTTTTTCTTTTGGTAATTTACTTCAAAGTGATTGTTAAATGTCATCTGGGAAACTTCAGAGAACATGTTCATAAATGCAGCCTGAAGTTGCCCGATACAGGTCGACATCACAGCGAGAGGTACCTAGGCAGACCTCTGGGTATAGAAGAGAATATAGGCCTGAGTGTTGCACACCTCCTCCACACTGCACACCTTCATCTCAGAGTCATTACAGTGGACCCAGAAACCTGAAAATACAAAGACAAGACATGTTTAACATGAAGAAATTAAGACTTGATTAAAAATTAAGAATGTTTATAGGTTGCGTGTGTTCTCTTCCTCACCTCCTTCTGTGTTGTAGCAGTATGCGGTGTAGTGCCCTGAGCCAAAGCCTTTCCCATGGTGCATAACAACAGCAGACAGATCGTAGGTGTAGCCTCCTCTGTGGACGGGGTGACCTGAGCCTGTGCAGCAGTACGGTTTGATGTTCAGAACCTGGTCGAAGGCCACATGGACGCCGATTTTCTCCCTATGGTTTCTCCCCGACCATCTGCCATACAACAGGGAGGAGTAAGCATCACAAGCACCATAGAGAACATTAAGCACTCTGATTACAGCTACACAATAAAACACATCAATAAACAAGACTGGGTCATTTCATTTGCAGTAATTATTAGAAGAAAACCAGCCTGTGTCGACACTTACCTGAAGCGTTTGAGGTGCAGCCGTAGAACCTGAGGTAACCGGTAGATCAGAAGCTGCTTACGAGCCTCTGACAGAACTAAGGGTTTGTGGGATGTTTTCCGCCTTCTTTCTGACAAACCATGAAACAATGAGATGGTAAATTAATCCACTAATCCATTCAAATGCATATCCTTATAATAAGGTTTTGTTTTAGTTGTAAAGGTTACAAGAACAATCAAACATGGCTTCCTTATAGTTCTTGTATATCAAAACTCTTCTGACCATGGTTAATGAAGATAAAAATCAAATATAAAAATATAATTGAATAAATAAAATAAAAACAGGTCATTCTTGTCTTTAAGTTACAATGCTCTGTTTAAGATTAAGGTGACATACTTCCTTAAAATATATCAGAGTTTGTGAAAAGTCTATTTAGTACATTCATTTTCTAATCAGTTTTAAAAAAGGTATATTCATGTCATTCTCACTCCGACACTTATGTCCTTATTTGCATAATTGTACTTACTGTTGCAGTGGTTGCAGGCATAGATGCTGCCTTCGAGAGCCTCCATCTCGGTAAACTTGGACAACATCTCAATGAGGGTGCAGCTGCGCTGGTAAGCTGTAGAGCCTGAGCTTTTGTCTATGCTGTGGTATCGCTCTGGAAACTCCAAAGACAAATCCCAAAATGGCTCCACTGTGTTAGACTTGTGCTTACAGGACAGACACGTCACCTAAAATACACAGTGAGAAGAGAAACAAGTGAGGACTTCAGTGGAAAATAGTCGTCATGTTTGGAAATTACATCAAGTCTTAAATAAGGGGATCTCTGAGAAAATACAATAAGCATTTTAAAAAGATCATGAAAAAAAGAAAGAAAAATAACCAGCATAAGTAGCTCATATATCTTAGTGAATACATGATTTGGTAATACAACTGCTCAAGGTTTTCTTAGGGATGGAGCTATCTGAAAGTCTTTTTTGAGTGATATAAAATAATAAATTAATCCCTATCAAATGACATTGTTTCACTCTTTCATCCTTATGGGTTTAAAGGCAGGTTTAGGACAAAATAATCATACTATGAAGTATGCCGTTACATATGTGATGTCTTACCTGGCTGAGTAGCTGCCCATGGAAGATGGTGTTAAGAACCTTTAGCACTTGCTTGGATAGTTTCCTCTTTGTGATGGGGATCACTATCCTGCGTTTGGAGCCCTCTGTGTCCAGCTCCTGCTGCACCTTGTCCAGCAGCTCGCACAGGAACTCCTGGGCGTCCTGCTGGTCGTAGCCCCGGAAAGCTGGGATGAGGTTCCACACCGAGTGCAGCATGGCGAATGGAGACACTAAGGACCACCGGCCTGACCACATGACCCTGAAAAGTGTGTGTAACTCATGGCACAGAGACATCTGCTGGCGGGTGGAGCAGCGAGGCTCCTTAGGCTGAACCAACTCTGAAGCCTGCGGGGTAGGAGGAGCACTTTCTTTTTTGCCAACGGGTAAATTACAACTGCCGGCCTTACCTACGCGTCCCAGAGGGCTCCCAGTCAGCGCTGCGGTCCCACTGCTGACTACACCCGTCACAGCCGTCATGCCCTGGGCCTGGTTGGTCTTGGCCAGCAGCTCCTCAGTCTCACACAGGTCCAAAGTGAGAAAACACTCCCTGAATTTCTGCAGGTGGCTTAGCACTTGCAATATTGAGTTCATGTAGCATGTGTTCCCCAGATTGCGCAGACCAGTGACACCTGGAGCAGGTCTCCGGCGGGTGACTGTGTGAGAGGAGTAGTACCTCCTCAGTTTAGCAGCTCTGCCATTCTGAGGAGTCTTACGGGACAGGGTAAGAAGGGAAGGCTTCTTGGAAGCAGGAGGTAGGCGTTCTGGAGGTTCGCGAAATTTGCGAGGAATGAGTGTGATGGCTGAACGTGGCGCCTGAGTAAGAAGCCTAGCACTCTTTCTAGGTGGGACACCGCCAAGCTCTTCCATGAGTCTCCTTTTAACCTCTTTTTTTTGTCTTCTAGCTTCCTCAAGTTTCTCTTCCCGCTCATTCTGCAGCTCCTGGTGTTTACCGATCCATGTCCGAAGCATCTTCCCTAGAAGTGCTTTCCTCCTGTGACGAGAGGCCAGCTGCATGGCGGGCTTTGGCCCAGTGTCTCCAACCCAGGGGGGGCAAACCCCCGCGGTCGCTGAGCGTAGAGAGCGTCTCCCTGGGCTGCGCACTGTGGAGAGCGCCCCTCTGAGGAGTTTGAGGTCTCCCTCTGCGTTGTCATTGAGTACATAGTCTCCACAGGCAAAACAGAATACATCTAGCTCACGCACCTCCATAACCAGTGGGTGGTGTGACTCCTGAAAGTGTTTGAGCGAGTGCTCCTCCATGAAGCGTCCACAGGCCACGTGGGAGCACTTGAGGCAGGCCCACACTGAATCGGTGGTGCTGCAGTCCACACACTGCCATTTCTGTGGGTTGAGGACAGAATGGTCGTGGCCCAGGCGAAGGCGCCCCACGTGCTTACAACGATCCATCTCTTCTGATACACATGTGGCCTCAGTGAAAGGACACACGTCCTGTAACCATGCAGCACCTCATCCTGAGGTAAGAGAAAACAAAGTTTTAGATTACGTTTAAACATACTGAAAGGACTCACGCACCGCTTATTATGGTGTCTTAATTCAAGGTCCATTATTTTCCTCGTTTTTTCAAACTCTAATTTCCAGACTTCTCTGCAAACCATATTTGACATCTCATTACAAATAGCTAGATGTTTATTATTTAAATAAAATGGTTTGTTTTTTTACCTTGAATACAATTGATGAAATATGAAATGAATGAGCATACATGCACTTTAATGCACAAAAACAAAATGAAGAGGCTTATACTTACTGTAAAATAGTTTGCCTGATCAGGCGTGGATCAATACATAAAAATAGTTGCAGGAAACTCAAAAGCAACTTTCAGCTTGACCACCCATGTCCACCGTCACCACCTGCACCGACAGTATCATTCTGAGACAAAGGGAGAAAGGACATTAGCAGTGCATAGTCGCATCAGGAGTGATAAATGACATCAACACGTTTCTCTTTTGTTAACAGATGTTTAATTAAACAATTATATAATGCAACAAAACTAAGCCTATCAATAAGCAAATAATTAGAAATAAGGCATTTTCTGAAACCACTGGTATGAAAATAAAAAACCTAGACACCTGCTAAACTCAACTAAAAAAGTATTCAATAACACACACTTTAAAAAGGGTATCCACTAATCCGGGATAATACATCATTTGCAATAATAAAAACAACGGTTTAAGTTTACAATGCCTTTCAAATTGTTGGTCTTCTAATGTGAATGTCTCCAAAATTTCAGTTTTGAAAATTGAGTATTCACAAACATTCAATAATGTGCTTAATTAATTCAAAACAAAAGAGGGAGTTAGTTTACTTTGATTCTGCGGTAATATGCAAACAACATAAACATTATGCTGAGTGCAACACTTTTTATTCTAGCGGCCAAATGGCTAGTGAATAGTCCAATGTTACCAGCCACTCAATAGATAACCATTTTTGTAGCTGGTGAGGGATGCAAATGTACCAGCCAAATGCCAATGTTACCAGCATTTGGCTGGTAAATTGTGTCATTTATGTTCTCTAAATAATATGTAAAAAACACTTGGAACAGATGGTTTCTTACAATATATTTCTTCCCTTAACTAGACAATTTTCGTGACTATACAGAGACGTTGTGCTGCATGGTACAACATTGTTAATGTAGGCATGTAACTAACGACCATTACAATATGTCATGCTATTCAAATACACTTGACAAGATTGACAGTACAGATCATTTTAAAGCTTTGGAGTTCAAATAACTCTGAGAATAGTTGTAATGGTAAAAATGCTGCATATGAGTTTTCCTATGCTGGTAATGATCAAGTCTGATGGTCATTGACAGTATGCTAAAACACAATATATTGTGCTAATTTACATAAAGACAATATTTAAAACTTCAATAGATAATTCTTAAGACTCCCAAACGTATTGACAGAAATGTGGACTTGAGGGGGCTGGCTGTCTGTCTATTTAAATACGTGGTTAATCTATGTAATTGTCTAACTCCCCGGTACCAGCGCCGTGCTACACCATTCTTCTCGCTTTTCTCTTTGTGTAAATAATCCGCTACTTTTAAAACATTTTTAACGAAAAGACACCATTAACTTGCAAGCCTGAGCAAATGGTTTCTTGTTGGTGGCATACCCAAATCCGGCTATGTGTTGCTATTGACACAGTTGTATTAGAAGAGTACATTAACGCATGTGACGGTGATATTAACAAATGTTACAATATGCAATCTGTAAATCTGTCCGGGATTTAAAGCGTCTTCTGGAGCAGGCTGGCAGTCTCTTCCCACCATGCTAAGCTACACTGCCATCCCCATGTTGAGGCAGAACAAAGAGCAGTCAGGGAGCCTCTCTCCAGGAACATCCAACAACTTTGTTAGTCGGAGGCAGCTCAGCCAGCCATAAGTTAGCTATCACCGCTAACCGCTAGCCACGGCAGCTCTGCACAGCCCTAGCCTTTTGCTCTCACCTAGTATGCATTTTTGGTTAACACAGATGATTCGTATGGCATCAAGTAGCTAACATGTTATGTTATTAGCTTGAAATAGTAGCTAGCGTTAGCTGCACGGTTAGCGCGTTGCCAAGGACAATCGAAGTTAACCTAACGGCTGTTGTCGCTAACGTTAACTAAGTATTACCACATTAACAGCTTAGCTCGCTAGCGGACTGCATCGTTAACCGTTTGGAAACTCCCCGGTGACTTTCATCACAGAAAGCCGGTTAATGGAGTCTAATTTATCGCCAGGCCTCGTCTGTGTTCATTACTACATTAGTAACACCTGATAACGGAAAAAGCTGGGTAACGTTACCATCGCCAACATACATCCATCCGGTACACTGAGAGCTGGTTGTTGTCCTCCTCACAGATTGAACAGCAGAGCCCAGACCCGGCTGCTCTCATTGGAGCGGGGCTCAGCGGCAGCCCGGCTCTCATTGGCGGAAGGGCTGAACAACAGGCAGCACGATGGACCGTCCGTCCGTCCACCCACCGAGGCCACATGCCATGGAACAATAACCGAGGCTGGACCCACCGCACACCGGGCAGAGATGAAGACTGCCCCTGAGCCCAATGTCCTCGAAAGACCCGTGCGTGTTCGCCATGTCAGCTGGTGCGTGGTAATCCTATAATGCATTAGGGGAGGTGTAGCTTTTAGGCACAGTATTATTGCTGAATCGTGAGTTACAGCTGTCAGGTTCAAGGGAGTTTATTACATATTTATTTTTATCCATCACTCTATACATGTTTTTAGTGGTAGCATATTGCTTTTTTTATAGCAAATGTGCTTGCCTGTTTTTCTATCGTCATAATTGCTTTTATTATTGTGTTGTAGTTTGCTTGCCTGATGTTTTGCCTTTGATTTGTACTTTTTTATAATGTAATGTTAACTTGTGTCAACCCCTTTTAGCCGTTGGAAGCAGCTATTGGGAATCAAAAAAAAACCATATAGACTTAAGTTCGCCTAAACATGGGTGTATCAAGAGAAACTCTAATCCTGTAAATGTGATTCATGTTAACACAGGGTGAAAGTGGTGCCAACAAGTAATCCAACACTGCACTGCTGTTTTAAAAAAAATGCACTGGGTGTGGACGGTTCTCAGACTATCATATTTTCCACAATGTGAAAAAACACATTTTTTGTACTGGCTTGTTTTATTACACCATTCTGACATTGAAAAAATGAAAAGTTGTTTTCTATAAACTTTCAGACCCATTATTCAATCCTTTGTAACAAACCAGGGAAGTCTCTTGTGTGTTTGTTTCACCTTTTTCTGATTATTTTATTCATACTAAGGCTGTCTCACAGCAGGCACTTTGACCTGCCTTAACACCAGTCGTGGAGGTAATATTTAGATAGCTTACAGTAGGAAAATGTGTAAATAATAACATTTTGGCTCAATTAAATGCAGCCCTTATCCTTATTCACTGAGAAACTCAAATAGAACAGAGACATTGTTAGTGTAATCTGTAACAGATGTGTATTGTGAATACAGGAATATGCATTGTTTTGTCACCTTTAAGTCTCTTTAATACAAAATGCATTCATAAAATAAGAAGGTTCAATGCATTGAGCCTCCAGAGATGGAAATAAAAAAATCCCAGGCTTTATAAAAAAAATGCCAAAAGTACATGCCGGTCCAGGGGGACAGAATTAAAGCAACATCAATACAAATATACAAAAAAGTTCTCTCCATTGCCATTGACCACTCAACGCACATTACTTCCTGGCATTTGCATTTTACGAAGTTTGTTGAACAACTCCAAGTACTGAGTCATGGTGTCAACGCAGTCTGATGGGGCAAAGAGTCCTTCAGGCTTGGCAGCAAACACAGACGGCAGTTCGGGGACGCTGGGACCAAGAAAGGACTGCATGAACTCTTTTGTGAGATTCCAGCATTCCCCTGGAACCACACAGGGGCAGTACTCCACCTGAAGAAACACTCAAAGAGTTAGCGCATTCTCAGCAGGAGAATATTATGCTTCCACTATTACTACTTTTCATTTATCTACATACCTCAACTGATATTCCTCTGGCGCTGGAGCTCATTGTTACCGTGCCAACCTTTATCAAGAAATCACAGTAGCGGTATCTAGATCCACGACACTCCACCTTATGCGCCTTGGCATTTTGGAAGTGACTTTTTAGCTTCACCATGAGAACGTCAAAGTTTGCATCTGCTATCAGGCAGGGTCCACCTTCAAACAGACCCATGCAGCTCAGGGGAGTTTCAGAGTTGTGCATCACGTATAAGAGCTTGGAGGGCTGACCTGTAACAGACGGACAAGAATGACTGTCAGAAGTATTATCTATTTAAGTGCATTTCTTGTTTTCTGCATGCATTTCATCTTTTTAGATACTTATTTTGTGGCGGTAATACTTCATTATTATTATTATGTCAATAATATGATATAGGACATTTTAATAAAGTGAAAGGAGTAATACCACAAGTAGAAAGTATTTCTCTACTTCTTACTATATTTTAAAAGTCCTGCATTCAAAATATGAAATCAAAGGATCCAAACAATATTATGTTATATTGTTGAACAGTAATTATTGATGCATTTGTGTTCTTCATTTTAATGTTGCAGCTGGCTAAGGAGGAGCTCAAGTTTTATACTGAATACTGCCAGAAAATGCAGTACTAGTAACTAAAGATTGATAAATAAATAAGTATATATCATGAACATGTTTACCAATGTAATTCCAGGTTTGTAATCTAATTAACAACCATGGTTATAGTCACCTTAAAGGTGGTTACACTCATCACACGCCTTGAAATATTCAAAGTGATGTATTGTTGGATGGAAAACCTATGAATAAAACGTATAGCTTCAAATATTACCGCTGACATTTCCTGTTGGATGGTACGTCTCACAGTCCACCCAGAAGCTGCCCTGCTTCACAGCACCCAACTGCTCCAGCTTCTTGTGCACGATGTCCACGGACTGCTGCACGCTCTTCCCCTCTGCCACGGGCACCTGGCACACACTGCAGGACGAACAAACACCACATTACGGGAGAAAACAAGAGAGTTAACTGAAAGGGCCTCCGTAAGATCTCTTATGTGCATGTAATGTTGTCAGAAATTGTTTCGCAGAGCATCGTTTGAATGGAAGTGACCGAAGCAGCGCTGCAAAGTGCAAACATATGCGCGATGGTTAAGGCCAAAGATAATTGCACATTACGCAAATAATGTTTAAATCATTGTTAAGATTTTGAATATTGCTGTAACCATAAAGTTATTATCTCACCAAGTGACTCCCATTGATGTTTTGCCTCCTCTTTCTTGGCATTCGGTGAATAACTTCCGGGTGAAAAGTCAGTCTTCCGGCAAAGGTAAATCAGTAATAGTAAAGTAAATCAAGAATAATAATAATATTTTAAACAGCAAAAAATAAAGATATTGTACTGCAAAAATGTATATGCTACTTTAAATAAAAAATAGTTATTTGTCGGCAGATTAAACGTATGACTTTTATTAATATCTCAGTGAAATATGATATACATTTTTAAAGATACCAATTTTTAAACGTACCTAATAACGATTCAACAGCTCAAAAAAATACAACTAACTTTTAAACAATGTTTTATAAAGTTTCAGGAAGAAAAAGAAACTAACATTAAATTCTTGCTGGGTTAAAGAAGTACGTGACGTAAAACACGTCACATCCTTTCTGTAATGGACATCCGCACGTGTTGAACGAGTGGCTGTTTACAGCACAGTACTTGTTCATTCTTAACCAAAAGAACATAATATAGCTACATCTTCGGTTAGAAACAGCGATGCCAAAGGTTAAACGATCTGCGGGCACAGGAGGAGGTGAGAAGAGCGGAGGATCCATGCCGCTGGCTGACCAGATCCTGCAGGGGGACACCATGCGAGCCCGAGGCCGAGTGAAGAGCAGAGACAGCCGGGCAGAAAACGAAGACACGTACGTCGACGAGCGTCTTTCCCGGAAAATCTTACAACAGGCTCGGATCCAACAAGAGGAGCTTCAGACGGAGTATGGCCTGGCACCAGAGAAGAAGAAAACACCAGTCACTGTTCTCGGTAATGTTGGAGGTATGTATGCCCTATGAACTGATTCTGAAAAGTTAGGTTCAACATGAAACTCCTAACATGTACTAATGTATCGGGGCTATCCCATAGTTATATAATAATAATCATAATAAATTACATCTATTTTAGTGCTTTTCCAGGTGCTCAAATGGCTTTACAATACGATAGACATGTAACATTGAATATTGTGGACAATACAACCCACAGACATATGTTGAACATAAACACACTACACAGAATTGGAGGAAAACTTTTTTTGACGGAACGTTAATACATTAGGAATATTTGAATATTTTTGATCATAGGAAAAACATCACACAAATCCATACCAGAGTGTTTGAATACATTTGTAACAAGTACAAGTTCCTCAGTTAGTGGGAATGCTGATACAGCATTCCAACTATCTGTTCTTCTACGCACGAAATTCTTTATTATTATTCCGCCGGGTTATTTTGTCCGTTTTCTTCTCCCACTTTCTACATCGCAGAAACTCTGTTAAAATATCAAAACGTTCAGCTCGATCGGGAATCGGTTGCTTCTACTTTTCTCATTCATAACTTTTATAATTTCCTAGATATATGCCATAATTAATCACATTTTTAACATGGAAGTCAATGGAGAAACTCTTCAGACTTGACAAATCTTCATGCGACTTCAACTGCTAACTGTTCCTTCATACTTTCACTCAGAAACCTCATTCCAACTTTAAAATGTTACATCTTTCTGACATTATTCATATTTAACAACTTTTAAATCAGATTCATACTTTTAGAAATAATAAACATTGTTCAGACCTTGGTAAAGAGGCCTTCTTCAGATGTTAACATTCGTGTGTATTGCAGCTCGTTAAGGCTAGAGTGTGTGATGTCACAGCTAGAGTGGAGGACAGCTTGAAATTCGCCTTCATATATATTTTTTAAACCTGCCACAATTCCAAAACCCTACAATCCTGAGACCAGTGGCGTTTTTATATGTACAAAAGTGGTGTGGCACAAAATTAGATTCTGCAGTGAGGTTCATGGCTGGTGAGGCACTGGCTCTTCAGGTTTATACATATTATATTTTGACCTAAATCAAAATATGATATTATTTTCAAAAGCTTTTTTTGTCTGATGCTTCGATTAATTTTAAACAGACAGTTCAACAAAAGGATACCCAAAAAATGTAATTTTATCATTTAAATATTGAATTGTTCTCTCTTAGTAAGATCCCATTTTCAATAAAATTGCGGTCTTACCTTGACTTGAAGATGAAGTCCATTATCCTTCTGGACAAAAATCTCGATTACTTTTTTGTAAAAGTCCTCCTAATCGATAGATTTATGATTTAGAAAATTATAAAAGTAGGGTAGACATGTGGATATTATCCGGCTGAACAAAACGTGCATTTATCTAACAGGTATATATCCCACAGATCTTATTTTGAGCTATTTTCTAAAATCCTATGGAGAAATCTCATTGCATAGCATACATAATATACCTGACGTGGAAACGTTACTCGTGGATGGGGCTACAGAGCTACTAGAAAGACAGTCGAAAACGGTGCATTTCTCCGTCTGAATGTGGTGCACTTTTGCTAAATGTTTGGACAAACTGCTCGTGTTACCCCCCTTACTATGCTAAACTCTTATTGTACTTTTGGTAACGTAAGCATTGTCCACCTCGAGACGGGTAAAGTTTAACCACACCTCAGAGCGCGTTCTCTCTGCCATCTCCTCCGTCTGTGTGTGTTGCATGCATGTAGCAGCTGCGTGTGTGTAAACTGCCTCGCCCCCTCGCAAGCAGGCGGGGGAGAGAGATCTCTCGTCTGGATTGGAAAGATCGAAAATACTAAGCATTTTGCAGTCTTTTTGCATATTAGAAACGGAGTTGGCGACACTAAAACTGTAATATAATGTTTGTGTAGCAATAATACATATGACATATATTTTTTACATATCTCCAGTACCGATAAAAAGACTGATAACGTTGGAGCTTAACGGTACCATGGTATTTAATAATTCAGCCCCGGGGCCCGTTTAATACCAGGGCTCGGTACCCATCCCTAACGCTCGATATGAAACACGGTTTTCTCATAGCTTCAGTGAAAATGCTCCAAACGGCCCAAAACTTCACAGGTTTGGTAACGATGCAGCCATCAACACATCTAAGCGTATTATGGGGTGTCATCAAATAGGGCTGTACCCGAATATTCGTTCGTTGGAGTACTATTCGGGTTTCAATTTCGTTATTCGGATATTCGGTTTTTTCCCCCCGAATTTATTGAAATCTCCAATATCAACGTAAGAGCTTGTGCTTCTTCGGGGGGTGCTAACACTTAACCATAAACGTTATCGTTTACTTTCTCCGTCTTTATATGTAGATATGACTTTTTCTCCATTAATCTCCGTCACGTTGTTTCCATAGCAACAAGAACTTCCTGTCAACAGCGCTAACTCCTTCAAAGTAAAAGCATGTCCATACAAAATAGGAAGCCAATCCAAATTACACTTAAGACATATACAACTGCAACAAAAGTAACACACACAATGCAATATCCTTTTCAATTTCAAAGAACATAAATTGGGTTATATACATTAACAAATAACTATAAAACAACAATACTGTAGAATAATAAGAATGCCGTGAATAAACCGAATACACGTGTCGAAGCGGTTCCTGCTGATTACTGTCATTAATCTAAATTCTTCACTTTCTTCTTACATATTACATTTCAGCATAGCAGTTTAGCGTCAGCTTTTCAGCATAAAGCATTCCCACTAGCAATTTCTTCAGGAATTGCATTCTCTAGTTCAAAATGTTACTCAAGTAAAACTACAAAAGTATTGGCATCAAAATATAGTAGTACTCATTATGCAGATTGGCCTATTCCACAATCATATATTATATGTTTTGATTATAAATATTGATGCATTAAAATGTTTATCAAGCTGATAAAGGGGCAGCTACTTTTAATTACTTTGTATACTGCAGGGTAACTTGTGAATTTACTCCAAGTGTAACTAAAGTCTGATTCAAGTGTTTATTATATTTCACACCATTATTCCAAATCTGCAAAGTAAATATAGGTACTACATAAATGTGGTGACGTATAAGTACCTGATTTACCTCTGAAATTGCAGTGGAGTAGAAGTACAAAGTAGCATCAAATTGAAATACTTGAGTAAAGTACAAGTACCTAAAAAGTGTACTGTACTTGAATAAATGTACTTAGTTACTTTACACCGCTGACTCTAGATATGCTGAATTTGTATAATAATGTTAAGCTCCTTCAGAAGACTTAAGCCATTAGCATCACTTGACCTATACAGTTTATATCTGTACAATACTATTTGGGTTTGACTATCTAAATGACAATCTGTGTCTTGTAATCCAACCTTAGGGCCTGACTCTCAGGATGCAGACTCCGATGAGGAGTGGCCAGCGCTGGGAGCAGCAGGTGCAGATGAAGGCGATGTTGCGGGTGAAACTGAAGTCACTGTTGACCCTGACGACGAAAAGGCCATGGAGATGTTCATGAATAAAAACCCTCCGATGAGGCAAGATGCAACAAAATCATGACTTTATCTAAAAACTATCTTTTTAAATGACACACGACGCTATGAGCTAAGTCTTTACTTTAAATGCCAAGTGTTTTTCTTTATGTGTTCTTCGTAGACGGACCTTAGCTGACATCATCATGGAGAAGATCACAGAGAAGCAAACTGAAGTAGGGACAGTGATGTCAGAGGTGTCAGGGCATCCAATGCCAGAACTTGACCCCAGGGTCATAGAAGTGTACAAAGGTGTCAATAAGGTAAGTTACATCAGTTGTCTGAAAGCAGGGCAACTGTCGATTATGTTCCTGACTGTAAATGTTAATATCTCCTAGTGAGCAGTTACATGATATTTATAATATCTTTTGTTTCAGGTTCTGTCGAGATACCGCAGTGGTAAATTGCCAAAGGCTTTTAAAATAGTCCCGGCACTTTCAAACTGGGAGCAGATTCTTTATTTGACTGAGCCTGAGACCTGGACTGCAGCTGCTATGTACCAAGCGACACGGTGAGTCCCGACATGGTTTGATTGTGGCTTTAAATTGAGTGAGTTATGGAATCTACTGCAGAAATGTGTACATGGTACAATAAAGTATTTTTTCATGCTTTTTGTTATAGAATTTTCTCGTCTAATCTGAAAGAGAGAATGGCCCAGAGGTTTTACAACTTGGTGCTCCTTCCCCGAGTAAGAGATGATATTGCAGAGTACAAGAAACTCAACTTTCATCTCTACAGTGCTCTGAAGAAGGCCTTGTTCAAACCAGGGGCATGGTTTAAAGGTGAGACCATTTAAATGGATATTTTATTTTCCCTTTTCAAGAGTCATAACAGGAAATTGATATTAGAGAACAGCAATTGTAGATTTTTGATTATTGGGGCCTCTTAACTATTTATGTATTCCTATTTGTTATGCCCCACGTTTTTTAGTTACGGTTTATAAACATGCACATTTACTTGTACTGCTCCCACATCAAAATAAACAGAATCGTTAATGACATCAGCATGGGCTCTAATAATTGTAACGGATTCTTTCAGTTTCCAGATGTTAAATGGACTGAACAACAGTGATGGAGAAACTGTTGTTAAAATACAACATTAAAAGTAAAATCTAATCCTGTTGGTACTTAACTTAAAGCATGTACTTATAATCAAGGATACACTAACTCATATTTGTTTAGTAATATAGTAATTATACTTAGTTAAAAAAAATAACAGCTTGCTATCAGCAAAACAATAACTTGGCAGTTTAAAAGCTTCTACATCAGACATTATGAGCATAAATAACTTATTTTTTAAATAAATAATTCTGTGCTTTCAAAGTTTGCTTTCATATTTGATGTTTGATGTGATTAATACATTTGTAATGTAAAATGTATTTGTTTTGAACACATTATTCTAGGGTCTGCAGGTGCATTGAGCACATGGAAAAAACTAAAGTCAACTCACAAAAAATATATTTAATCAATGGCAGTGTTTCCCCTAGGTTTACTGCTTTGGGGGGGGGGGGGGGGTGCTGCCTAAGCGTGGCATTGGGATATATATATATCTCCTCTGGAGCAGGGAGAGGAGCTGTGGATTATTGTTATTGATTAATGCATCAGTGTTTCTTAGGGTCGAAAACACTAAACTCACAACTTAAAATGAAAGCGTTTAGTTTATTTAATAAAAGAGCACATGTTCAATGTGAAAAGTGACAGTAGATAAAGATTAGTTGCAATTTGCTGCTGTATATGTATGTATATATAAAATCTTATTTTTTTATTTTATATATATATATAAAATAAAATCTTATTTTTTTATTTTTTATAAACACCTTGAATTTCAGGGGGGTGCGGGGCTCCGTTAGTGGGGCGCAGCGCCCCTCCAAGACAATGGTAGGGGAAACACTGCAGGTGATGTGAAAAACGTTTACTTTCCCTTAGATAAATATAAAGAGTTACTGAATCATACCCAATTATCCTTACATGGTTTATATCTTATCTAACTATTGTTTCATTAAATGCCCAGTGAATGCTGCTGGGATAAGCTCTAGTCACACCACACGTGACCTTAAAAAATAAAAAGTAGCTGAAGTGAACGACTGAGGATTTGACAGCTTGTTGCAACAAAGACATTACAGGCTTACTGGGATCTATCACGTTTCTAATTCCAGCACCATATTTAGAAACTGTATGCGGAGGACACTGTCGGCGGATTAGTTTCTGTCCGCAGAGTAAAATACACCATTGGTTCTAGAAGCTCAGTAATCACGGCACGCACATTTAATTGGGTTAAATCATCATTCATGTGTCAATAATTCATTTGGCCAATGATCGTAGAGTAGTTATTTTCTTTAGTCCTGTCAGTTTTATGTATTCACATTCATGTCCCAGATAAATGGGACCATTTTCCCCCAAACCTCCCATGACCCATATTTACAGGACCACCAGTATGAGATGACACCACTAAGTGGCAGTGTTGCTCACAAATACACTGAACACTACTGTATGCCAACACAGTGTGAAAGTTCTTATTATACATCTATGGTGAATGGGAAAACTGACTGCTAGTGATAAGCATTTTCCATTGTTTCTTCTTGCATTGGGATTCATTAATTTAACTGTAGAAATTAGATATACCATTCAGTGTTTCCCCTACCAGCCCCGCGACCCCTGAAATTCAAGGTGTTTAACACTAGAACCGCCAGAGGTCGCTGTATACCTAAAACCGCCAACTGGTAATATTTACCCACTATTGATTTGCAAGGTACAATGTTCTTTTATTTATCATACAGAACAGTGAGTTTTGATCGCACAGGGATGAAATTTATACCAATAGAATCTGTGGACTCTCAGCTTTTCATATGATATAGTTTGTGCAGATAGCATGAAGTATAAAATATCGCTACCAGTGCTGATTTCAGGGTTCGTACGGGTGCTTGAAATCCTTGAAAATGCTTGAAATCTGACGTGGTGTTTTCAAGGTTGGGAAAGTGCTTGAATTTTGGGAATGGTGCTTGAATATGGGATAAAGTGCTTGAAAATGTAAATGCTTTACTTCGCTTTTTAGATTAAAAGAAAATAAAGAAGTCGGAGCGAGCTTAATTGCTTTTCTTTTACATAAAACAGCTCCGCTCCGGCCTTCCCGCGCTATGCGCGTGACCTGCAAGTGTTTTTGTTACGTGTGTAACTGACCTGGGCATTCTGATGAGAGTGATAGATGACAGTATGCCAGGAGGTTGCAGTTTCAACGAGCGTTGGCTAGCAGAAGACAAATACAAGCCATGGCTAAGACGAGGGTCAAGTCCACGAGTAGCCTCCTGCAAAGTTTGCAAAAAATAACGATGGGAGAGTCTGCGCTGACGAGCCACATGAAAGGTACGCCGTAGTAGAGCATTTTAGATTAGGCTAACGTTGCATGTTACGTTTGTTTAAGCTAACGTTAGCAAGCTGAATAGCGAATTCCATGAGGGATAATAATTGCAGGGGACAATCATTTCAGAGGATGTTATGTGCGTTACAGTCGCCATTCTGTGGTGTTCAGAGGATGTAGCACTCACTTGTAATTCAACCCAGTAATTCTCACGGCACTTCGTGTTATAGTCATGAAATATAATCTATTGCTTCGACACAGAACGATTTTAAAAGCAATGTATTTCTACTGGTAGTATGTTTCATGCCTAAACCAAATGTGACTCTCTCTCTCTCTCTCTCTCTCTCTCTCTCTCTCTCTCTCTCTCTCTCTCTCTCTCTCTCTCTCTCTCTCTCTCTCTCTCTCTCTCTCTCTCTCTCTCTCTCTCTCTCTCTCTCTCTCTCACACTTTCAGGAAAAGTCACGGACTGGGAGACTTTAATATTTTATTGAAAAAAAAGTCTATTTTTATGCAGCTCTGTGTGATTTTGTGGCTATAATTCAGGCTAATACGCTACCAGAGGTGGAATAAGTACTCAGATCTTGTAGTGGAAGTACTCAGATCTTGTACTTGAATAAAAGTAGAAGTACTCAGATCTTGTACTTGAATAAAAGTAGAAGTATTCAGAATTTGTACTTGAGTAAAAGTAGAAGTACTCAGATCTTGTACTTGAGTAAAAGTAGAAGTACCAGAGTGTAGGCATACTCTGTTACAGTAAAGGTCCTGCATTCAAAATATTCCTCAAGTAAAAGTAGAAAAGTATTCTCATCAAAATCTAGTTAAAGTAGCGACAGTAAAAGTAGTCATTGTGCAGATTGGTCCATTTCAGAATAATATATATGATATGTTTTATAATGATTGATCATGAAAGTGTTCTCAAAGCTGGTAAAGGTGCAGCTAGTTTGAATGACTTTGTATACTGCAGGGTAGCTTGTGGATTTACTCCAGGTGGAACTAAAGTCTGATTTAAGACTTGATTATATTTCACATAATTCATCCAGATCTGTGAAGTAACTAAAGGTATTAAATACATGTAGTGGAGGAAAAGTACACCATTTACCTCTGACTTGTGTTTACTGCCACCTAAAAGTACCTAAAAAAATAGTAATCAATAATGTATTGAAAAGTTGTTTGGCTGATTGTTGTATATCGGCTCCGCCAGGTTATATGGGATGCCCAGTCTATGTACAGATGGATCACTCATTTTGAAATATTAAACTTAGTTTTATTTTCTTTAATTTTTCATCCTCGTGTAGAATGCTATTACGAAACACACATTTTGTTGTTTATAGCATAAAGAACATCTGATTTAATGTGAGGTAGGGAAATAATCATTTGAGTATAAGTACGTGTATATAGATATGTCATTTACAACAGCTGTAAGATGCTTGAAAAACTTAAAAATGCACCTTGAAAATGCTTGAAAAGTGCTTGAATTTGACTTTGGAAAAGGTGTAAGAACCCTGTGATTTAAACGCTTGGTGTTAGACTTGTTTTGTTTAGGTACAAATCTCTCTATCTCTCTCTCTCTCTCTATCTATCTATAACTATCTATCGATCTATCTGTAATGTTCTGTTCTATGGACATATAATTGTCTACATAAACAGACGACGCGGACTACTTCTCTCATTCCGAGTGTCCATCTTTATTCAACTGGCACGTAACCTGCACACATGCATTACGTCCTCAACGTGAGCTCAGTCATCCAAGATCTTGTATTCTCCAAGATGTTACACTATCTATAACTATCGATCTCTCTCTCTCTCTCTCTCGCTCTCTCTCTCTATCTATCTATCTAATCCATCTGGAACCGCAGTAGACAAAAGGTGTTGCTATAGCAACACGTCATGTTTACGCTGCATTTTCTATGAGGTAAATATTACCCGCTGGCGGATATGGGTATAAACGGCAATTTTGTTGGCGATTTTTTCAATCTGACTTCCTATTGACCATTTTTAACAACAGAGGGTGCTATATAACACACTTTCAGGAAAAGTCACGGACTGGGAGACTTTAACATGTTATGGAAAAAAAGTTACATACAATCAAAAAATAGCTGCGGGTAAAATGTACCCGTTGGCGGTTCTAGTGTTAAAAAATAAATTATTTTTTAATTATTTTTTATTTATTTATATATATATATATATAGCACCAAATTGCAACTAATCTATATCTACTGTCACTTTTCACATTGAACATGTGCTCTTTTATTAAATAAACTAAACGCTTTCATTTTAAGTTGTGAGTTTAGTGTTTTTGACCCTAAGAAACACTGATGCATTAATCAATAACAATAATCCACAGCTCCTCTCTCTGCTCCAGAGGATTTAAAAAATATATATCCCAATGCCACGCTCAGGCAGCACCCCCCCCCCCGCCCCCAAAGCAGTAAACCTAGGGGAAACACTTCCATTGATTAAATATATTTTTTGTGAGTTGACTTTAGTTTTTTTCATGTGCTCAATGCACCTGCAGACCCTAAAATAATGTGTTCAAAACAAATACATTTTACATTACAAATGTATTAATCACATCAAACATCAAATATGAAAGCAAACTTTGAAAGCATAGAATTATTTATTTAAAAAATAAGTTATTTATGCTCACAATGTGTGATGTGGAAGCTTTTAAACTGCCAAGATATTGTTTTGCTGATAGCAAGCTGTTATTTTTTTTACCCGAAAGAAAAACTGATTAGGCTATTGACAGTGAAAACTGCAAATTATCCTACTTAAAGGTCCCATGTCATGGCCATTTCCACTGATCATAATTCCATTGTTGAGGTCTACTAGAATAGATTTATACTGTGCAATTTTCCAAACTCACATTGGTTTCTCATACAGCATCTCTAAACTACGTGTATTCACTGAATTTCACTCTCTGCCTTTAACGGCTCGTTGTAGCTCCAATAGCTCCAGCCCCCACCCTCCCTGTGAGCACAGTGTGCTCTGATTGGCCGGGACGTTGTGAATCGCGCTAAGCTCCGTGGAGGTGTTGTTTCCTTGTTTAGCGATACACAGCGAAACACAGCCAAACTCATCCTGAGCACACACAGTCACAGCCGAAGTAAAAACAATAAGTGTGGCTTGATATTGAGTAAGAAAAAGGTTGATAAACGCTGTGAGAATGGGTCTGCAGAGAGAATTTCGCCGCCATCCCAACTGTCTGTTATCAGCCTGCAGCCAAGGAGGAGAAATCAGCAGAGCTGCTTGCACCGAGTGTGTGTGTGAGGAAGTCCATGGATTGGTCAATTTGGACCAATCAGCAGGGGCTTAACGTAACGGCTCCACGGACGTAACGGCTCCACGGATTGGTCCATTTCGTTCCGGGTACGGAACACACAAGGGGACGGGTACTAACCAGAAAAGCATGACATGGGACCTTTAATGCATATACTTAAAGGTGGGGTAGGTAAGTTTCAGAAACCGGCTCGAGATACACTTTTTGTTATATTCCATGGAATGCTCTTAACATCCCGATAGCAATGAATATCTTAAGTGCTTTGACAACAAATCCATTAAAAAATGTCATCTGTGGAAGCCGTAATACTGTAAAAAGTACAACCAATCCGTTTAGCCGGGCCGGCTAAACGGATTGGATTGCCGCCCTGTCTGTCAGCCTTCCATCTCGTGCACGCACAAATGTATCTTGTGCCCTCATTGGGCGTGCCGCATTGGGCGTGCATTGCAGCAGTACTTCAATGACTCACCAGCAACAGGCGGCCACTTTCACCAGTCTGCTGACGTCATGTGTGTTGGAGGAGGTGCTCTGTAAGGAAGTCTGAAGGAAGGGGCGGATTCTTTTCGGCTGTGTACTTTCAAATTTTAGTGCACTCGAGCCGGTTTCTGAAACTTACCTACCCCACCTTTAACTACCTCAAAATCAAACAAACAAGATACACAGGATAAATTGTTTTATTGCTAATTTACTATCTTTATAACTTTCAAACGGCCACGTCTGTTAATCATACAGCCATACGGTTCTCCAGACGTGACTGCTCGCAAGTCATAAACGTGGGAATCTTTCCCATCTATGCAATCCGTTCCAACGAATTTAAAGATAGCTTAACTTAAGATGCCTTTGTCCTGCAATATTGAAAGTGTTTTCACAGTTTATGGAGCCATAAACAGTTGAATCCCTTTTACTACGGACTAAAGGTCAGGTTAAGCAAAGTCACTGTAGCATCTGTCGCGGGTTCCCCATCTTATAGAAGTGCTGCAGTACTCAATAATATTATGTGCCTCTTCTGTCACACAGGTATACTGATTCCTCTGTGTGAATCTGGGACATGTACTCTGAGGGAAGCCATCATCATCGGAAGCATACTCACAAAGTGCTCCATCCCTGTCCTCCATTCCAGGTAATGTTTCATCAATACACTAACCTGCAGACAAATGTCAGCAAATAAATACACTAACTACTGCACCGTAATTTCTTCTGGAAATGAATGGTGATTATAACATTTACCACTGAAGACAAAAGCCAGGTTTTTTTTAATCCAATGTGAAAGGAGCTTTAGATAAAGGTATCAGCCAGCAGCCATCAGCCTTGAATACTTCATATTTGGTGGTGTTGGCAAGATAAGTGAGGTCAAAGTTGCATAACCTGGGCGGTTGTATAACGCAAAATTGTTCTTGTCTTTCAGCGCTGCAATGCTTAAGTTGGCAGAGATGGAGTACAACGGCGCCAACAGCATTTTCCTACGCCTCTTGCTTGACAAGAAATACGCCCTGCCTTTCCGTGTCCTAGATGCCTTGGTGGCCCACTTCCTGTCCTTCCGCAGTGAAAAACGTGAGCTTCCTGTGCTGTGGCATCAGAGTTTACTCACCATGGCTCAGCGCTACAAGGCTGACCTGCCCTCCGAACAGAAAACGGCACTGCTGGAGCTGCTCAAGACACAAACACACCCTCAGATTTCTGCAGAGATTCGCAGAGAACTGCAAAACTCAGAGTCCAGGGATCTTGAAATTGGGCTCCCTGTTGTAGTTGAAATGGACTGAGGAATATGTCTAGTCTGGGGTCTCCTCCCTCTCTGTTGCAAATGATTCATGTTTTTTTTAGCATGAAGACAATTTTATTAAATCTAACTTCATTATTCTCCCTGAACCATAAAAGGACAATTTCAATGATTGCATTCTATTACAATGCCTCAGGAGCAATCATCCTGGACCCTGCTTGGATGAAGTTGCACTTCATTAGTGATGTTGATATTGTAATTTAATATCAAAAATATCTGAACTTTTATCCTGCAGTTGCAGTGCAGTGTTTTCCTTGGGAATACAAAGACTGGGGTTTGTTATGATTTGATTAAGAGCAACTTGTTTAAGCGATACAAAAGATGGATAGTAAAAGACTGTCTATTTGCAGCCCAGTTTTCAAATATTTACCTGAAATTTTGTCTTCAAATAAAATGTAATGCTTAACTTTCTAAAACATATTTAGATGTCTCTGACCTTTCAATTTTGTTTTTAATTGTATCTAAGATGTATTGATGATTTGTGAAACACATTTTAATTAGTCATTAAATAACATTTAAATTAAATATAACAATTATTTAACTAATTCAACTCAAAATATTTAGCAAGTAGTCTACACTGAAAAATAAACGTAAGTTAATATTATTAAGGAAACTCTTTTACTCATCGTAAGAGTGAGAATAATTGTAAATATGAAGTGTACCCTTAAAAATAATGTTAATATAAGACCCCACTTTAAAGGTAGGTTAGGTAAGAATGGAGAAACTAGCTCGACTTTGAAAGTACACAACCGAAAAAAATCTGCCCCTTCCTTCAGACTTCCTTACAGAGCCCCTTGTCACTGTCACTACCCGATCCGTCCCCCTGCCCGATCGGTACTGCGCATGTGCGAGATGGTCCGCCATATTGGACAAGTCCGGACGGAAACCCAAGATGGACACTTGACACAGTGGCTTTTAGCAAACCTGAAAAAGAAAACTCGAGAGAGATGAGTTATTGTTATTACAACGTGACTTCACTATTATTTAACAACTCTTTTTATTGGGTTCTTTTATTTGGGGTTAAGTACATTGTCAGAATAAGTGAGAAATGAGTTTAACTTCTGTTAGACAGCTATCATACTGAATACATATTTACTGTGAATGTGTGCAAAAATGTATGGCATATAGCTGTGTAACAGAAGTTAAATTCATTTCTCACTTATTCTGACAATGTACTTAACCCCAAATAAAAGAACCCAATAAAAAGAAATTGTTAAATAATAGTGAAGTCACGTTGTAATAACTCATCTCTCTCGAGTTTTCCTTTTGAGCTTTGCCAAAAGCCACTGTGTCAATGTTGTCCTACTTGGGTTGCCGTCCGGCGTTGTCCAATATGGCGGACCATCTCGCACATGCGCACTGCAGATCGGGCAGAGCTGCAGATCGGGTAGTGACAGTGACACCCCTCTTCCAACACATACAAACTTCTTATTATACATCCATGATACGAACACGCACATGACCAATGACGGCACGAGATAAATGTGTGCACGAGATGGAAGGCTGACAGGCAGGTAGGCCATCCAAATAACTGCCACTGGCCGAGGCAGATGATTGGACTTGCTTTTTACAGCGCCACGGCTTCCACAGATTAAATATTTGTATATATTCATTGTCAAAGCATTTAATGTATTCATTGCTATAGGGATGTTAAGAGCATTCCATGGAATATAACAAAAAGTGTTTCTGAAGTGATTTACCTACCCTACCTTTAACCCAGGGGTGGGGAACCTTTTTCCTCTCAAGGGCCATTTAAAAATGTTCAACATCCTCCGAGGGCCGTACAAATTATTGACCTCTGCTTAAAAAAACTAAAATCACAGCCCATTCATTTCGCCTTTCTTTCATGCAGTGCAAAGAAAAAGCAACCTCTTAATCCAGATATTTTACCATGACTCGCGTATCGCGAAGAGACGGAGCGGCTCCACCTGTTGCTGCCTGCGATCTACGGGGGCCTGCTCCCACCTGTAGAATACGGCTGTACTGGAGAGGTTTTTACCCCGGAGTCGTCGCGGAGAGACGGAGTGGATCCACGCTTCGGGCTTGGCCTGCTTCCACCGGGCGTGTGCTGCTGTGCGGAGGAGGATTTTACCACCGCTGGGGCCTGCTTTCCACCTGTCCTGGTTCTGCTGTTGCAGAGGCCTGCTTTCACCCCGGGGATACCACGGAGGGACCGGAGCGCTTCCACGCTGCTGTTTTCGCCTGTCCTTTGCTGCTGTGCTGATTTTGCTCCAGGAACATCGCGGATACTGTGTGCTGGTCTGGGAAAATGGCCCATATCGGGATTCTGCTGTGCCTGTTAACTGTTTTGGACTATGAGAAGATCTCTAGTCATTCTGAGAAGTCTACTGGATTCAGGTCTGTTCTGCCACCCGCAGTGGGCATCCTCTGCAAAGGTTCGGATGTGTTGCTCAAACAATTACCGGTTGCCTTGTCACAGACAATCTGCTCGACAAAATATGTTTGTCTTTTTGTTTTCCTACGATGATGGTTCTTCAGGACTGCTTCTTAAGCTCAAATCACACACTCGCAGACTTTTCCGGTGTTTCTAAATTAGTTGACTGTGTGTCGTTTAAGAGGAAAAGATGCCTGGTTTTGTTGTTATTACTGTCAGGAAATGTACAACCTAACCCTGGTCCGCCCAGTAGTAGTAGTCAGATCGCTACTCCTGCTGATTTTAAAGCTAGGTCTGGGTTGGGTTTCATCCACTTGAATGTGCGCAGTCTGTTAGGTAAACTAGATTTTGTCCGTATCTGGGCGAGCTCGACTGACGCTGACGTCATGGTTTTATCAGAAACATGGCTAAACAAATCTATTTTGGCCTCTGACATTGCCTTAAATGGTTTTAATGTGTATCGTACCGACCGGCCTAATAAAGGTGGTGGCGTTGCCATTTATGTTAAGAATAAGTTCAGTTTAAAAACCTTTGTATCTCTTTAAATGTTACTCAGATTGTTGACAGTCCTACTCGCCCTAACATTAAGTCCCCTAATAAATCCTCTCTAATTGATCTAATTTTAACTAATGTTCCCCATAAATATTCATCTGTGGGAGTATTTGCAAATGATCTGAGTGATCACTGTGTTGTAGCCACAATTAGGGACACTAAGGTCCAAAAGGTTAAACCTCGCATTATCATTAAGAGAGACAAAAAACATTTTTGTGGAGCAGGGTTTTGTGCATGTGTAAAATTGATCTGTGTGCTGATGTAGAAACCGCATGGTCTTATTTTTATCTTGGTTTTATGGAGATCATTGATAGACATGCACCCCTGCGTACATTTAGAGTAAAGGGACGAGACAATCCTTGGTTTTCTGCTAATCTGTCCAGTCTCTTTCATGAGAGAAACAAGGCCTGGGCAAAGGCTAGGAAATCAGGCTCAGAGGTAGAATGGCTGCATTTTAGGCAGCTAAGAAATAGCTTCACTTCATATCAAAAGTGCTAAATCAAAGTACTATCTGTCAGTAACCACAAAGAATCTGAATAATCCTGGAACATTTTGGAAAGCCATTAAATCGTTATCCACCGGCGATATCCGTAATGAGCTACCTCCGTGCATTACCACAGCATCTGGCACTATATCGGACAGGGCTACTATGCTAAATTGCTTTAATGAGCATTTTGTGTCCTGTGGTTCTCTTTTTGATTCTGTCACTAACTCTGCTTCTGTGAACACTACAGTATGTGACTCTGAAAAACGTGTGTTGGAAAACCCTTTTAGTTTTACCCCTTTTACTGTTGATGTTGTTCGTGAAACTTTAACCAAGTTAGATCCTAAGAAACCGGCTGGCCCGGACAACGTAGAACCTTTCTTTTTAAAGATAGCTGCAGATTTTATTGCTCCACCTCTCACTACTCTTTTTAACCTCTCCCTCAGCTCAAACACAATTCCAAAATTGTGGAAGTCAGTGTATGTCCTGCCTTTGCTAAAAGGAGGGGAGGCCACCTTATTAAATAACTATAGGCCAATCTCTAAGTTGTCAGTTCTGGCTAAGGTTCTTGAACGCTTAGTGAGTGAACAGGTAAAGGTGTTTTTATGTACAAATGACATCCTGTCTAAACATCAGTCAGGCTTCAGAAAACAACATAGCACCATCACTGCCACAATGAAAGTGGTGAATGATGTGGCGAGTATTTGAGATAATAAGCAGAGTTGTGCAGCTCTATTTATTGACCTTTCAAACGCGTTTGACACCGTCGATCATCACATTTTAAAGCAGAGGCTAGCCAGTATAGGCATGTCCAGCCATGCAGTAGGGTGGTTTGTAAACTACCTCTCTGAAAGGTCCCAATGTGTTCATTTTGATGGGCTGTCTTCTGAGTGGTTGAATATTGCTAATGGTGTTCCTCAAGGTTCTGTTTTAGGTCCACTTGTATTCTCCATCTACATCAACAGTTTAGGTGAAAATGTGGATGAAGCTACTTTACATTTGTATGCGGATGATACCGTGATGTACTGTGCAGGTTCCTCCATTAAGGAGGCTGGTGTTAAATTACAGGCTGTTTTTAACATTATTCAGACTCAGCTCTCTGAACTAAAGCTTCTGTTAAATGTTGAGAAAACCAAGGTAATGCTCTTTTCTAAAGCTAAAAAGACACCAGAGCCTGTTTTAGATATTGTAACTACACAAAGGAATAAAACTTGAAGTGGTTACCTGTTACAAATACCTTGGTATCTGGCTTGATGATTGTCTCACTTTTAAACTTCATGTCAATAACCTGCTTAAAAAGCTGAGGGTTAGGCTGTTCCTTCTTCTACAGGAACAAGTCCTGTTTCTCGCTTGAGGCCAGGAAAAGGCTAGTCACTGTGACCTTTTTACCTGTGCTGGACTATGGTGATTTGATGTATATGAATGCACCTGCCAATTGCCTGGTCAAGTTAGATGCCGCCTATCACAGTGCACTGAGATGTGTGACAAACTGTAAAGCATTAACCCATCACTGTACCCTCTATGCAAGGGCTGGTTTGCTTTCACTAACTGTACGGAGGCTCAGTCACTGGTACATTTTTATATACAAAGCCATGTTAGGGAAACTTCCATCCTACATCTGCTCCCTGATCTCACGGAAAATTGTAAGTGGCTACTGCCTGAGATCGAATGCTGTGGTTTTATTAAATGTGCCAACTGCTAGGACTGTCTTAGGGAAGACAGCTTTTAGATGCGCAGCTCCTCTGTCTTGGAATAGTCTGCAAATTAAATGGAAACTGAACAATCTGGTGCCACTAAATGTTTTTAAAGCTCGGTTGGATGCTAGTCAATCGGAAGCTATTGGTACCTGTTTATGTGGATAATTATGTAAATGATGCTGTATGATGTCCTTTTGTTGTTCTATTTATGTTTTTATGTTTCATGTGGAACTACTTGAGCAGGTCTCCCTTGAAAAAGAGATCAATGATCTCAATGGGATTTATCTGTATA